GGCCAACAATCACTTTTAACCCACAAAATCACCGCAGATTGGCTGGTACCTCCCTTTTATTCACCAAAACATGGAGGGGGGCGCAGGCACCTGCCTCCGCTGTGACATTGTTCATCATCTTCCCCCAGAGGCAGTGGCTGAGCCCAGGGAGGGGAGGGGCAGAGAGGGGAGGGACAAGGAGGGGAAGGGTGGGGAGGGCAAGGGGAGGGCCTTGGTTGCCAGTTGCTGTCTCACCCGCATCTTGGGGCCACCACGCATCACAGGTACATCCGCTCCTTTACCCTCAGGGACCCTCATGCAGGAATGCAGAGGTGCCTTTAGAGGCATGTCTCCGGGAGGCTCAGGCTCTGGGAAGGGAAAGGGGCCCTGGAGGTTTTTACTGGGCCGGGACCATTTCTGAGAAGGGAGGGGCAGCTCAGAGAAGGAGCCTGTGGTGGCCTGAGTGGTGACCCTCAGAGGACATGCTCCTATCCTAGTGCCTGGAGCCTGTGAAGGGCATCTGATGGGACAGGGTCTTTGCAGCTGTGAAGTTAAGTATCTTGACAGGAGGAGATCATTCTGGATGAAGATGGGCCCTAAATCCAATGACACGTGTCCTTAGAAGAGACAAAAGAGGAGACACAGACAGAGGCAGAGGCTGGAACGACACAGCCACAAGCCAGGGATGCCTGGAGCCCCCAGCAGCCAGAAGAGGCAGGAAGGACCCTCCCCAGGAGGCTGCGGAGGGAGCACAGCCCTGCAGACCTCCGGTTACAGATCTCGGGCTCCAGGCTGTGAGAAAGTAAATCCTGATTGTCCTGGTCACCCGCTTGTGGTGACAGCAGCCCCTGGAGACTCACACAGGGCCCCATCTCACTTCCTGCTCAGACCCTACCACCCTGGAAGGCCCCATGACTGCCCTGACTCCCGGATGCTTTTCACAGCATCTTTCACCAAGCACCTTGTGTTCGGTTCCCAGACTGGGGGCAGGGGTGGGCACCTCCTGGGCTGGGACCCCCAGCCTCTGATGTTGGCCCCAAGCTCTCCCCATCCAGCCCCCTGCCCCTCCCGAGTTGCAGCTCACGCATGGGAGGCCTGGGCGGGCTCCTCTAACGCTTGGAGTAGCAGTGATCTGGAAGCACAGAGGGGGCTCTCAGTGCAGGGACAGGGACTGGGCAGGAGCACCTCCCATCCCCACCCTGTCCCGGCTCCTGCTCGGTCTGGGAGCAGCGGGGCCGACCTTCGTTGGTCAAGTCGACGATGTTTTGTGGGCCGAGTCCGTACTTTTTGCAGGTTTCTTCAAATCTGCTCAGGAAGGCGGGTTCCAGCTGTGGGACCCGTGCTGGGAACAGAGTTGGTTCTGTGTGAAGGTGGGCCTTGCTGGGGGTGCTCAGGCGGTGCTGAGGCTGGGCAGGGGGTCACGCCCTGACCAGAGAGGGGCTTTGTGCCAAGTAAGGTGGGAGGCGACAGACTGAAGCACCCAGCACCCTAATGGTGTGTCTGTGGGAAGGAATGGCCAGTGGGAACCACCTCTTCAAACCCCAGGGCCACGGCGAGACCCTCGGCCCGGGGTTGGGCCAGATTTCAGAGGCGGTGGGGTCCCCGAGGGAGTCAGAGGGGGACAGCGGAGGTACCGTAGAGCGCCAGTGCGTGGGTCTCGGTTCCGTTCCTGAAGTTCTGGAGGTGGAAGGTGATGAACAGCCTGTAGTCAGTCTCCGAGACGGCCACCGTGTTCTCGCCCTCATCTGCGTGGAGACATGGCTCAGCGTGGCCTGGCCCCGCCACCCTCGGGGTCCTGTGGCAGGTGTGCTGTGTGGCCACAAGCAAGGATGCCGGGTCACGTGGCCTTTTGAGGGGGAAAGGGAGGTGCCCAGGGTGCTTGCCCAGCGGAGACCCCTGTACAGGGCGTGGGTGGCAGCGACACAGCCCCCTCCCTCCTTGTCATCGGGTTGCAGACCTTGGTGGTCCCTTAGTGGGCCCGTCTCCCAGAGCCCAGCGAGACACGCCTGCCTCCCTGCTTCCCCTGGGCCAGGAGTCCCCCTGGAGTTGGTGCCAGGATGGGTCCCAGTTCAGGGTCAAGCTGTCGGAGGGAAACTTAACTAAAATCCCCAGAGTCAGTGCTCACCAGAATATGGCCCAGGCCCTGGAGAAAGGGGACCCCCGGCTATCAGGCCAGGAGGAGCCTGGCTTCCACTTACAATTGATGGAGTATTCCCCATTCTTCTCTGTCTTCTCGCAGACCACGACCACGGCCACACACTCCCCCTGCACCCTGGAAGCCAGCCAGGAAGATGCCGGGAGTGGAGCTCCAGCCCCCTGGACGTGCGATGGCAGAGTGCACCCCTCCTCCAGGACACAGGCTCCCCCTCCCAGTGCCTGGGCCTCATTCCACAGCCCTGAGTTCTCGGGCTGGGCCCTGCTGCAGCCCACCCAACACCCTCATCTCCTCAAGCCTCACCCCAGCCTCGGAAGGGGGGCGATTTCATCTCCATGTTTAGGGGAGAGCACGGCGCCAGGTCGACCAAGTCCCTGTTCCCACCTCACCCCGCCCCCAGGGGTCACACGCACAGGCTCAGGCTCTCGCCAGAGTGTGAGTCTGAGTGTGCGAGCCTGTGTGTGCAAGAGTGAGAGTATGCGTTGGGGTGGCAGGGGCATGGGTCTTCCTGATGCCAGCTGAGATGGGCAACACGCACATGAATTCGAAATCAAATTTTAGGCTGCCGTTCTTCAAATGTTCTATATTCCGGACGAAGACCCGCAAGTCCCCGTTTTCTTTAATCCGATTCAGGTCATCTGAGGCCATGAAAATAGAATACCAGACCCCCGAAATCTGAAGACAAAGAGTTCCAGTGGGTGGGGGCTGTGGGACAGCTCTGGGGATGCTTAGTACCCACAGTCTTCCCTCCCAGGGCCCGGCCCCTGAGCATCTGGCTCCCAGCCAGATCCCCTCTGCCCTTCCAGGGCCGTCTCTGCCCCCAGGTCTCCTCCCCTCTGTCCCCATATCCCCCCTTTGCCCCCAAGGCCCCCCCTCTGCTCACAGAATGCCCTCTGCCCTTCCAGGGCCCCCTCTGCCCCCCCCAGGTTCCCCTCTGTCCTCTCAAGGCCCCCCTCTCCACCCTCTCCCACCAAGTCCCCCTCTTTTCCCCAGGTCTCCCTTCTACTTCTAGGAACCCCTCTGTCCTCTTAGGGCCTCCATCTCCCTGCTGGCCGCCACTCCACTCTCCAGGTTTCCCCTCTGCCCTCCCAGGGCCCCTTCTAACCTTTCAGGACCCCAGTCACCCTCCCAGGCCTCCCCTGCCCAACCTTCCCAGAGTAACCCCTGCCCTCCCAGGCCTCCCCGGCCTGACCCTCCCGGAGTAACCCCTGCCCTACCAGGCTGCTGTCACAGCCTAGGGAGGAGAGCTGGGCTCCCCTTGGACCAGCCGCCCTGGTCGCAGGTCAGAGACCCCAGGCTGGGGGAGGACCATTGCCTTGAAGTCTGGCCCCTTCCCCACAGACCCCAACGCAGACGCACCCTGGCCATGTTGTAGTTCCTCTGCACAACGGCGCGGGGATTGAACTCCTGGGCCGCGATGATGCTCAGCCCCAGGCTCAGCAGAAGCAGAGCCATCCTTGCCGTGGACGCCTCGGCCCTTGGCCCACCCTCTTTATACCCGGCTGCCCTGTGGCTTCCAGCCCCGCGGGGCGGCCCACTCCCTGGCCCGTCCACACACATCCTGTGCCCACTGGGCATGCAGCCAAAGGCCTTGAGGCTGGTGCCCTGTCCACTGTGGGAAGATCACCCACTCCCTTGTGGGAGCTTCCTGGACCTGTGGACAAAGGGACCTGCTGTCCCCTTGCTGGAGGTAGGCACCCTGTCCCAAAGGCAGGGGACAGCCTCTCTCTCAGCCTGCAAGAGGACCCATGGTGGCTGTGTCCGCAGAGTACAGGGTGTCCCTGTTCCCCTCCCGCCCCCTCCCGCTCCTTCCCCAGCACAGCATCTGGGGCCAGAGCCTATCGTGAGTCACCATGTCCCCAGACTCAACTGAGGGCCAGGTGCTTATTCTCTCCTTATTCTCTCAGTCCAGTAATGGGATGTGGACGAGCTGGGAAAGTAGAGAGTTTGCTTCTGTCCCTGGGTACAGGGAGAAGGCCGGGAAAATAGTACGAGACCAACTCAAAATTGCAGTTTTCCAGAGCTTATATACCTTTGAAGCTGTATGTCTACGTGTACGTGTGCATTCATCTAAAGACAGAAGTGATGAACTTCTGCTAATCTATAACTAAGGCCTGAGTCCTGAAGACCTTCCTCTGGAGCCTCAGTAAATTTACCTAATTTAGGGGGGTCCAGATGCTGGGGTGATTACCCTTATCTCATCTCCTGCTGAATCATGGAAGTTTGGGGGCATTCCTTTAGACCCCAATAAAACTTGTTTAATCCTAAACGGGTACCGTTAAGAATTCCTTCATTATCTTGTCATGCTTCAAGGCCCAGGAAGGGCCTGGACAAAACTCTTGGTGGGCTTTTATTACATTCCAGCCTTTGTTGAAGGGCGCTGGCTC